CGAGACAAAACCCCGATGCTCATATGAAATTTCACTGATGACAAATTTTGCATGTGCTATGTTATGTGTCCCGTGCTTCATCACAGAACCGGCGAGTGATATAGAGCGACACAATGAAGCCACCAATGGACAAGCACACATTACGGACTCGCCGAGACCCAGACGTGATAAGGACATCGACGCAACGAAGGCTCTGCGTTCACGAAGAAGGGGTGTCACGACATTTGACAAATGTTGGTGCATGTCTCGTACAGGAACTGAACACAATTCGAGATATCACACGACATGCAAAATCTGAACAACTGAAGACTGTACGAACAAAAACCGAGCCTTGGAGGATAAATTTGGTCGAAATGCATCGCGAAGCGAGCAAACAGAAATTACAGATGGAAATAGCAGAGAAGGGAAATAACTACATTGACATCCCGCGCAGGGAGAAGTCTTCGAAGTTTACTCCGAAGTCGAACACGGTACGAAGGAAAAAAGTGGGTGGTGCAACACCTCTTGCTCCAACTAATCATGTCGTAAAAAACAAACGGGACCACAACAACGGTGAAGCGACTGATGTGAACAGTGCACAAGTAGGAGGAAGAGGTGAGGATATCGAAGGAAGCATGCACTGTGGTCGCCAGGCGGGCGAGAGCAGTGGAGGCAGACATATTGGAGGTCGACACATTCAGTGCAGGGAGCGACATGTGGAACAACAAGGTCAACAAGCATCATCGACAGAGTACGAGGACCAGTAGATGGAGCAAAACGAACAAAACATGGAAGAGGACGAATCAGAGAACGAGAACAACACAGACAACGACGATTTTGGTGAACGTGAATCAAATCAAAATGAGGATAAGATATTGAAGAGATTCGTGAAGACGATGACGAAAATGACGCACACTGCAAGAACGAGAAAGCAATAGGTAAAACATTTTGTGAAATCCTGTGAAATTGTTTGTAGCATTAAAAAAATATGGAAGAAAAAGACAACAACGTTGAAAATGATTCTCGTATATGCATTCTCGCTTATGATTTGTATGTTATTTAAGAACAACTAAAAGTCATAGTCATTAAAATTGTGTTCTGCATTTCTTTTCTTCTCTTTGTCTGCTCGTCCTCTGTGTCTGTGTAGTTATGCGAGGACACGAAAAATCGGATGCGTCAGAGAAAAGCAAGGTCAACAACCGCATTTATGACAACATCCACACGTTATATGCGCACTCCAAAATAGTGAAGCAATTGATGCGTTGCGTAGCGAAGGCCTTTTGTTTATCTCACGTCAAGGATGCAGAGATGTATTCGTAAGTCGACACGTATGTGGATGCCTTCATGAGTCTCACCGAATTTTTGGACCCGGATACACGATTCATCGTAGATCGGTCGATGAAGAGCACAACACCAACAATACTTCGCACACAAGGATCAAGGGAGTTGACGAACATCAGAGGAGAGATCGCTTACAACATTGTCAGGGCTTTTAGAGCGCCGCGGAGCTGTTTTATCCATGCGGAGCTGTAAGAGATCGTTTTGAAGAAGAGACAGAGGAGATGAGGACGAAAATGATCGAAGATTTATCAAACCGAGTGAGAGGCGCAGAGTCATGGGGCGCAACAGAGTTTAAGAATGTAGTGCAAGACGTTTTATACAAAGATTGGAATGAAATAGGTCGAAATGGTTATACTCTTCAACAACTCACATTCGCTCATATGGTGTTAGAATGTCACATCAGCAACAAAAGTCGGTCTGCACGCACGGCAGCAGCAAGCAAGGAAATGCGAAGGATATTTTTTTTTTTCAGTACGATATCTCAATGTTGCTCGCACATTGCAATGAGTTAGGCAACAAACTCTCAAACGTTCGCACATATCAGGGATACAGTATAACCACAGATGACTTAACTCATCATCCAACGTTGGAACAACGTTGGAAAATGTTTGTTATATTGATTTGGAAGCCCGCAGCGAAGTTGTGAACATTTCTTGTGTTGAAGTAAGGTTTAACACATGTGTGTTTATCGATCAAGGTATAAAACCGGTGCATGTTTAAGAACTGTTGTTACTCAATACAGTCAACTCATTTTTAACACAAGTGTGTCACACAACATAACTCTTAAGACCGGGATTTTTTTCTGTTGGAGAGAGAGAGAGAGAGAGAGAGAGAGAGAGAGAGAGAGAGAGAGAGAGAGAGAGAGAGAGAGAGAGAGAACATAGCCAGGAGAGTTAACAGGCAGAGGGGTTAGAAGAGAATGGCAGGGAGCAGGCAAGGACAAGAAGAGTAGAAAAAGCGGCAGCAACTCCCGACTTAAGTAATGCAAGCCCCTCTCTGAAATTTGTTGAGGAAGCGCTGCATGCATTGGCTACGCTAGACTGCCTCCAGCATGGCGTTCTCTGCTGGCCATGACCGTCGGTTTCCATGTAAGCAATAGAGTTTGCCACCATCTTCCGGTGGACAGAATGCAGGATCATTTTAATTGTATTTGGACCGAACAGTGCAGTAAACATAGACATAATTGTGTTTCTTTCTCTTTTTTTTTCAAATTTTTTGATCGTTTTTCCAATCGTGCGTATCGGCGTTATCTGTGCAGGGGAGATCTTGCTGATCACAATCTTGTCCATGTGAGTGGTTCCAATTTTCACAGGTGTCCGTCCCAAAGAACATCCACACACACACACACACACACACACACACACACACACACACACACACACACACACACACATAGAGAGCATCAACGCTGACCATGGCCCATGGGTCTGTCTTAGTGTCTCTCTTGCTTTCTCTCTGTCTGTCTCTCTTGCTGTCTTTCTTTCTGTCTTCCTTTTTCTCTCTCTTTCCGTCTTTCCTGCTCTCTTTCATATTCTTTTCATGTTGCAAGGAGTTCCATGTCACAGTTCTCGAGGTGAAAGAGGGAGGATGTCGGGAAAAACATGAGATTCAAAAGGGGCAGACATGGAATGCTTCCGAGCAGGGGAATTGTGGAATGGCTGCAAGGCAGGAGAACATGGGGGCATCCACATAGATGCATGTAATGTGTTCGAATAATTGATTGGCCAGGATGACTGATGGACGCCATTCTCATTGATTGATTGATTTGATTTTTGTGTGTGCATCTTGAGCTCCTCATGTGAGCAGCAGGTCTCCGTCTATCTCTTTCTGTCTTTCTCTCTTTCTGTGTCTCTTTCTTTCTCTTTTTCTTTCTTTCTGTTTGTCTCTCTGCCCCTCTTGCTTTCTTTAACTCTCTCTTTCTCCTTTGTGTGGACTTGTATGGAGAGAGAGAGAGAGAGAGAGAGAGAGGGAGAGAGGGAGAGAGAGAGGGAGAGAGGGAGAGAGAGAGTCCGCTTGCTCGATCGCTCGCACCCTGAGGTGGGAAGCGGTTAGTTCCATGCACCATCTGGGCCATAAGATGTTGATATCTGCATGTGGACATGCTGCAAACACATGACAAAATTTTTGGGGCATATGCGGCGACGGTTCCAACCCTTTCACATAGACTTCAGAGCGAAAAGATGACAATATACGTATATATTTGGGGCAGCAAACAAATAAGCAGGCGTGTGAGTTTCAGTAGCGGATGCGACAAAGGAGACGGGTCATCTTCACCCCCTGATATGACCAGCAGGTCTTTGTCTCTCTCTTTCTCTTTGTTTGTTTCTCTCTCTCTCTCTGTCTCTCTCTCTCTCTCTCTCTCTCTCTCTCTCTCTCTCTCTCTCTCTCTCTCTCTGTGTTTCTCTCTGTCTTTCTTTCTTCCCGTCTTTCTTTCGCCGTGTTATGTTACAATGAGGTCCGCCCCATTGTCTGATTGTTCCTCTGTGATGATGCTTGCATCCGCATCTGCCTATCATTGCTACTCCGAGCTTGGGAGCGCCTATATCCATTCCTTTCAGAACACCAAAGTGGGTCTGAGGGAGGGGGGAATGATGAGATGGATGGACGGAGATGACTTTCTATCTTTCTCTTTGTCTTTCTCTCTGTCTTTCTCTCTGTCTTTCTCTCTGTCTTTCTCTCTTTCGTTCTTTCTTTCTCTCTTTCTTTTTGACACACATACAGACACACACACATACCTACAGACGCACACACACAGACATGCATTGGTGAACGGGTGTGCAGACAGGATTTTATGACATGGTGAGATATGTGCACAGTCTTTCTCATTCTGTCTTTCTCTCTTTCTTTCTCTCTGTCTTGTTTTCTGTCTTTCTTTCCTTCTTTCTTTTTTTCTCTTGTTTTTCCTTTCATATTCTTTCATGTTGGAATGAGTTATCTGCTATTCTGTGATTACCGCTCTGCGATGATGAAGGGAAGGGTTTTCGATATTGAAATGAAATTGTACTCAAGAAACAAGGCAGAAAAGATTTAACTATGCCATTCGAATCAAATAAATTGAAAAAAAGCGTATCAGTTCAATGAGTGAATCATGAATTCAATCAAAAAGAATTATATCTGTGTTATGGATGCATGGTGATCTTTGAGAAATCAGTTTTATGAAAAGGCATAAAGTAGAGAGAGACGGAGAGAGAGGCAGAGAAGGAAAGAGAGAGAGCGAGAAGGAAAAAGAGAGAGAGAGAGAGAGAGGGAGAGAGAGAGAGAGGCAGGTGTGTGTTCATTGCTACAAAGTTTGTTGCAGGCGAGTAATGCTGGTTTTTGATGGATTCCAACGAAGCTTATTTGTCATTGAACAGCATGGGAAACAGAAAGAAGATGCAACATTTGTTTTGGTGCCTCACGAGGGCTTGGTATGTTTAGGGTCTGGGGGGAAGGAAGAGAGAGAGAGAGAGAGAGAGAGAGAGAGAGAGAGAGAGAGAGAGAGAGAGAGAGAGAGAGAGAGAGAGAGAGAGAGAGAGNAGAGAGAGAGAGAGAGAGAGAGAGAGAGAGAGAGAGAGAGAGAGAGAGAGAGAGAGAGAGAGAGAGAGAGAGAGAGAGAGAGAGAACGAAAGAGAGAGAGAACGAAAGAGAGAGAGGAAGGAAGAGAGATAGTTTGTCATTCATAAGGCCGAAGAGAAAAGTTATAGTAAACATTTGTCGTCAATTAAGAAACAGAGGGGATCAAAGGCGAACTGTTCAGAAAAGTGTGAGCGGTGGCATTGAACATGTATAGTTATTCCCTTCGTCTTTGACACGGAGACGCTGTCGCTGATGACAGTAGACATGTCTTACAGGTGAAGAAAGAAAAGTGGAGAATGAAGGCGCAAACATTGTAGTGAGAGGGCATGAGGGAGGAGTGAGGCACGAAGTCCTGTATGAGAACATGGTATTGCACATGACGACGAGGCCGAGGATGAAGAAGTTCTAGACAGTCTAAAAGGTAGGGCGTGGCGTCAAATTGATCTAAGAAAACATGGCATTGTACACGAGGTGTGGCCAAAGTGGGCAAGGGTTGTATGAAGTGTGCGACAATGGTTGCATGAAGTATCATTTGTAGGCCAAACATTTGCGTTAGCGGAGGGCGGGGAAAGTGAGGGAGCTGACCGAGGGCTGATGTGGTTATTGTGAGCAGGGAATGTCAACATTAGCGGAGCTGGAACTCGTGGTTCATTCATTGCAGGGGGGGAGGGCTCATGTGGAGGCTAAGGAGGCGGCAGACAGAGCAACGGCGGGCGAGGGGCTATCCAACGGAAATTCGTTTTGAACGACGGGACTGGAGGAGTGAACGTATATTTATGACCGATCGTATAATGGAACGTTATACAGTTGCCCACTGAAGGAATAACGAATGTGTGAGGGCAATGATACACAGTGGCCCACCGCAACAAAGGCATTGTTGTCTCACAAGCCTCACGATATGCAGTCCTAAACATGGTATGCATATGTTCAATCGTCGCGCCGTGGTCCATGTCTGCCAAGTAGAAGTCAACAAGGTGGCCTCCAGGCATCTTGCGGACACAGGCATGAACAAGGAGGCCTTTTTGAGTGTCAGTCGTCCCATAGGGAGATCTTGTCGGATGTATGATGTTATGCATTTGCGCTGTCATTGTATGGCTGACGTCGCCCTTCACGGATGTCATTCGCCATCTCTGGCGATGGTCAGAAGCGGGGCAGCGATTTCTGCAAGAGGACAATCAAACACACAGTCGGAAGAATGTGTAAGTGGCATGTTTTTCTTACATCCAGAAACTAATTGTGAACCATTTCTTGCAACGTGCGAGAGAGGGTGACGAACAAAAAAGTATCAAATGAAGTGGATGAGATAAAGAGGAAGAACAGGAGAGTAACATGGATCGAGGGGTTGCAAGGAGGAATATGTGTGTATATGCACCTGTTCAAGTGGCATGTGGTCGACGGTTTGCCGGCAGGGGTTGTGGTTGAGCAGTGGAAGTTCGTGCCACCGCATTATCATCTTCGACTGTGGGGTTTTCACCGCTGGGAGCTTCGTCCACTTTACGCAGAGGCGGTTCAATCGCCCGCATGTTAGCGTTGAAGCACGGGACGAGTGAGTTTCCATAATATTTGTGACCTGTTGTACGTGTGAATGTGAGAGGTGTGCCAATATATGGCAGAACATAGCCGTCCTCCACATCGCAGATTGTGCCTCTTCGTAGCAAAGGGAGAAGATCGTTGTGGATGCCGCCATATGTATTTGCCAATGTTCAGTGCGTGTCGTTGACCGCCTCACGCTGGTTCATGTCTGCGATAGTCATATCAAGGACTCTCTTGTCGTTCGACCAACGCCACATGTAATGCACAAAGTACCATTTTTGCATGACAAGAAGAGGCTCCGTCGGCTCAGGGACGTGTATGAACTCCTCCATTTCGAGGGTTGTGTTGTGCACAACCTGGGGCAGCCGCTGTTTTTTTGTCTCTTGAGCCTCCTTAGATAACTAGATTTATTCGAGCAACTTGGGTCTGTTACGCTTGAGGGGCGGAAGCTGGCCGCTGCGCCTAGAAGAAGTATTAGATGATGTCATGATCTGTGAAGAAGACAGAACAATTCGCGAACGTGAATGGGAGCACGATAAGGGGCATACAGGCAATGAAAGCAGAGGAAGTTGGCAACCACATGAACATAATAAACATGCATAACCGTAAGAGGATGGTGGAAAGCAAAAATGTGGGGGGCGAGCACGAATGAGACGGATCGTTAGGGACAACGATAAAGCGGAGGTGCGAGGCAGGTGGAATGCGGGAAAGGGAGGATTGCATACATCGTGTCTGTGACGAGCTCATCATGTATAAAAGAATGGTTGAATGACATATCATATTCATCAAAAGCAAAACGTGGACCCGATAGTGCGGGGGAAAGGATATGCCATATCATGACAAGGAGAAATATCCCGCAGTCGTATGAATTGGTCTGTCGAGGGCCGTCTATAATGCAAGTGTGCATTTGTGTGAGCAAGTCTCTGAAATCGTTACGTGATCATAACCAGCATTGGATGTTGGAGAAGAAAGAAGGGTTGAAATTATAGAAACTATCTTAAGACATGAGCCTATGGTTATGCATGTCAATGTAGCCCAAAGCCCAATGATTGCCATTGACATGTACAGGGATGAAAACATGCTGAAAGGCATGTAATGAGCGGTCGCTGGCACACGTGGCTAAAATCTGATCAGCAAAGCGGTAACGATGACGGACAATTCCATTTGTATACATAAATGTATCCACTGCAAGCACAAAGGGAAAGATGTGTCTTAGAAGACGCATGTAATTTGCGATAGGAATATCACTGGGCCAAGAGGTATGATGAAGAGTATGGTAGGGACAATGTGAAGAGAGTGAGGATTGAGAAGGCGGGCGTCACTGCTCCAGAGGGGACTGAGGAACAGCCGAGGACGTGAAGGGTGCAGAGGGTGTTGGCTGTTGCGCGGACAGATGAGGTGGCGAGCCAAAGGCATATTTGCAGGGCGGAGCAGGGGTTGAGGAAGGAGCATTGAGAAAAACAACAATATGAGCATTGTGTATGGCTGGAACAAAATACAATATATCATCAATGCGCAGGTGGGCTGATTGCATACGAAGGTGTGGGAGATAAGGTTGAGGAACAACCGAGGACGCGAAGGGTGCAGAGGGTGTTGGCTGTTGCGCGGACAGATGAGGCGGCGAGGCAAAGGAATATTTGCACGGCGGAGCATGGGTTGAGGAATGAGGCATGAGAGGAGAAACAATATGAGCATTGCGTATGCTTGGAACAGAAGCAACTATATTGGGCAGAGGGGTCATTGCAGATGACGATGGAGAAG